AAAGCATTGCTGGGATGTTTAAACAGATATGAAGAATTCCCCGTATAGTTAAGTGTTCTGTCTTTGTATATTTGGCTTAATTTTTCTAAAACAGTTTTGGTAATAACAGCATGTTAGAATCTAAAACATGTCTTTGTTCTTTTAAAAGATAACATTAAAAAGAGATTTTTTTTTTTCTGGGGTAGTACCAACTATAATAGAAACTTGAATAATCATGCAATGAGTTTTTAGGTTCACAGAGGTAACATAAATAATAAATGTAAGTACTTGCTTTATAGCTGAAACTGAAATGAAGTTTGAGTGTTTAAGTTGAAAGATAAGACTTGAACACAAGTAATAGGTGTTCATGTATTACTTACTGTGTGATAACATTTAGGAACATGTTCTCCATTATCCCTGTGTATCCCAGTCTTTCTCTGCGATGTTTTTGCTACATTAAATTCTGTTTTATGCATATATTTATGAATAAAGATTAGTGAGTAACAGATTTTTAATGTAGTGAACAGAATTTAAGATTTGGCAACAGATTCTCTTTGCTTAAATTTGATATACAATAGAATCTCCATAGCTGACCACCTCCTTAAGCTGACCTAATTTTCACAGACTGGACACGCACCACACATACGTGGCAGTATAGCAGGCTTAGTTACTTATGGTGGCCACCTCCATGTGTTGGTCAGTTTGTTATAGCCCCTTGGGTGGTCACTTACAGAGGTTCTACTGTAATCTCTTTCTTACTTTCTTCTGCACTTTGAAATTTTAGTCACTCACAGATTAAAAACCTTAGAACTATTGAATGCCTTTGATACTGCTACTAGGAGATGGCTTGATACTCAAACCCATCCTGTATGAACCCTAACCCTATAGCCGATTCACCTGGACTGATGGCTTGTTTGTGCAGGTGGTTCCTGTGTTAGTCCCAAACAGACCCGAGCACTACAGAGTGTCTCCTCAAATACTGATCTTACATCATTTCTTTACTGAAAACGTGTGTGCCTATACAATAGAGTCAACGTGACCCCAACCCTGTACCTACATATAGCACAAGAATCACTCATAGGCTGGTCACGACTGGGCTTTAAGCTTCATCACCTACCATTCTGCCTGTCTCCTAACACAGCCACCAAATTATATGTGTCATTATTTTATCTTAGAATATGCTCTTTTATTCTCCTGGTATGAGACATAGGAAAAATCAAATGATTCTTCCTGTTCTCACATTCAACATAACACTTTACCTCATGTCACCAAAATGTGTGTGGGTTTTTTCCCTGTACACTAAGCAGTTCTTCAGTTCCATTTGGATGCTCCCTGCCTGGAGAGAGAGCAGCAGATCATACAAGCTGAGGGCTTAGTCCCACAAAACTGCCTCCCCTCCACTTCAGATGCCAATTTGAAAATAGTAGGTTGTTACCTATACTTCGACCCGTCAACTATAAATTGTTATTCTCACAACCCCTAACTAGATTTTGGTTAATTTGCTAGGATGGCTCATAGAACTCAGGGAAACAGATTTATTGGGTTATGTTACAAAGGACATGGATGAAGAGAGAGATACACAGGTGAGGTCTGGGGGAAAGGTTGCAGGGCCCTTATCCATCTCCAGAAGTGGCACCCTCCGGACACCTCCCTATGTTCGGCAACCTGAAAGTGCTAACCTTCTCCTTTGGGGTTTGGTGGAGGCCTGAGTAAGTAGCCATGGTTAATTAAATCACTGGCCATGGTGATAGGCTCATCCTTCAGCCCTTTTCCTCCCCAGAGGTAGGGTGGGACCAAAAAGTCCAGCCTCTGATCATGGGGTTGGTTCTCTGGCAATCAGCCCCCATTCCAGTGCTATATAAAAATAGTACGTCTGTGTTAGAAACATTTTCTTAATTTTATTCTTATGATAGTAAATTAAAAAGTAATATATACTTCTCAAAAGGATTTTAAAAGTATAGAAATATATAGAAGCAAAGGTAAAAGCCTCATTTTTCTCATTACTAGTTTGATATATATTCCTGAAAACTCTTCTGTATACTTATAAACATATATTAAAAAGTATGTATTTACATATACAGGCTGTCCATAAAGTTCATATGCAATTTAAATATTAAACATGCATACAAACTTTATGGACACCTTGCATATGCATACACTGTTTTGGGGTTTTTCCAATGCAGAGTCTCACTGTCACCCTGGGTAGAGCGCTGTGGCATCACAGCTCACAGCAACCTCAAACTCATGGGCTCAGGTGGTTCTCTTGCCTCAGCCTCCAGAGTACCTGGGACTACCTAGGCACCCACCACAATGCCCGGCTAGTTTTTCTATTTTTAGTAGAGATGGGGTTTTACTCTTGCTTATGCTGGTCTTGAACTCCTGGGCTCAAACAGTCCTCCCTCCTCAGGCTCCCAGACTGCTGGGATTACAGGTGTGAGCCACTACGCCTGGCCCAGTATTTTTAAGAATATGTGGCCTCTATTAATAAGTTTTCATTGGCTGGAGAATATGACTATATCTTACATCTCCAAGCACAGTAATAATTTCTTACAATTTATGAAGACTAATAGGAAGTGGAAGTCCATTTGATGGCATTTGCAGGTGGGAATTTTATGTTGTGTACTGACGGGAAAACACAGGAACTGATACTGAGGTGCCTGGGTGGTGGACTGAGTCCTGGTTCTGTGTAGTAGGAACTTTCTGATGCTGAGGAGGCAGGAGGGGGCTGCTCACAGGACCTGGTAATGGTGAGGTGGGTCTGACCCCGACAACTCCTAGGGAGTCATGGCATGGCGAGCACAGATTTCTGGAGAACAGGCTCAGACGATGTCCTGTCAGTGGCAGAAAGGAGGAAGCAGGAAGAAGATAGGTGAATAGAGAACACATTTGTGTGTTAGGAGCATGATCGTTTTGGTTGAATTCACAGCAGCGTGACAAAAGTGAGATTTGTGAGCGGGGACCCAGAGAAAATGTGATTAGAGGTTGGTCTTTGAAGAGCAACCTGAGGAAGTTGAATTAGTTGGTAAACAAGAAGTGTGTAAGGTAAACTGAAATGAGATTCCTGTGTTCTAGAGTGATTGTTCTGGTTGCTAAATTTAGTGCAGTTGGGAAGCCAGGCAAAGGGAGGCGTCCCACAAGACAGGTGTGGGCAGTTGCAACATCACAGAAGGGGCCAGTGTGTCCGGTGTTCAGGTGGCACCTGTGGCCTGTCTTAGGAGCACATCTGTCATGAAGGTGTTCTGGCTGCTCCCAGCAAAACAGGGAACATGGTGGCTCTTTGCCTTTTGTCCTCTCTGTTGCCACCAGCAGGTGTGTGGATTCAAGGGAGGGGCAGAAAGGACAACAGTGTCACCATAAGTTGCTTCTTAAGAGGGGCTGCAGCTTGCGACAAGGACAGTCAGCCACCAGACAGCTGGCCACCTGGCTGGGCCCTCGTCTGCTCTGCTCTACTGTGAAGTAATGGCATGGCACACACTGCAGGTGACTTGTACGTGGCCTCATTGGGTGGCCTTATTGGGTGCCTTGGGGAAGGCAGCCCCTGCGGACCCTATTTCCACTCTGGTCCACAGTGACATGCGCTCACCCTCTAGATGTCAACAGGCGGACAGTTCTCTCTCCCCTGATCTTTGGCTTCTTGACTATTGACTTTCCCAGCTGTAAGCCTGTTCCTGAATTCTGGAAGGTTGCTATCTCTTCGGTGTTTTCGCAGAACAGATTCAGGCTAACTGAATCTTGGGACAGATGCACTTAGTCCACCTCATCATTGAAACATAGTGCTTATGCCTAAGGACGTGGGAGAAAGTGGGGCCTGCTTGGCACAGGGAGCAGTGGCTGTGAGGGTCCCAACCCTGGTGCCTCTAGGACCAGGGCCTTGCTTCCAGACCCATCCTCAGTTGTCTATTCTCACATTATCTTTTAACACCCATCCTCCTGACACCGTCTCCTGCCCAGCCCCTTAAAGAGCCATCCTCTGACTGGTGTGGCTCCCCCCAGGCTGGAGCATGTGGTCTTTCATAGGCTCAGTTCCTTCTGTTACTTGGGAACGTAAGCTGTGGTACTTTAAGACATCGGCACATTTCTCCATCCACGTCGTGGTCACCTGCTTGTGGCCCTTTGTACATCTGAACAGAAACTTGGTGTGAAAGCGTAGCATGGACGATATGTTGTTTCTTCTTTGAAAACTCCCCATCTGTTGCCCAAACAGCTTTTGGCTTCCTCTGCAAGGATGTTTTATCTTAGCTGCAATAGCAGAGACAAAATTTTTCTAAGTAGTTTTGTTTTTATTTTTGTTTTTTGCCTCTGCACACACATCTCCAGTATTCAGGCCCTGCCTGGAGAGTTGCACTGGTGTCGCTCTTCAGGAGAGGATGGCAACAGAGGCACGTCCTGGGAGGGGCCCCACATGGAACAGATCTGCCCTCTGGTTTGGACCCAAAGAGGAAAGCAGATAGAAAGGATGAATGTCTCCTTTTCTTCTCTTAAGAAGAGAGGGTTTTGCTATGGCCCAGGCTAGCAAGCAGTGGCCAGCAAGTGGCTAGCAAGTGTTTGCAGGGACAATCCTAATTCACTCCTGGGCAGAGGGGTGCCTCCTGAGTACCTGGGACTGTGGCACCAACACATCCCACTTGGGAGGGGTCGACTTTGGAAGCCTCGAGGTGGATTTCTAGAATGTAAGGGTGACAATACTAATGACAGGTTAGAGAAATGATTCTTTTACAAAGTAAGAGGTCAGGTTTGTATACTTGGATGTTTCAGATACCATGAACGTTCCTGAGAGCAGTGATATAGAGAAGGCTCTCATGGTGCTTGTTGACATTCAGTTTTTCTGCTCCAAAGTGTTCTCAGAATGTAAAGAGGGCAGGGTGCTTCAAGTTTCAGTTTCCCTTCTTGGAGACTAGTTTTCAGAGCTTTAGAGCAAAGCAGTGCCATGTAAATGCAGGTATAAGTGAGAGTAGCCCGCCTGACGTTCTATTATACTTTGTCCAGAGCCAGGAAGTCATGTGTGTGCATTTTTCTCCTAGGTTCATTTTCCAGACACTGAAAGAGCAGAATGGCTAAATAAGGTAAGATTAGAATATCCCAAATACCAGCTATCAGTGGGAGTTAAAGGATGAGACATCATCTTCCATATTTGGGGATTTGGACCTTGGCAACGTCGGAGCTTGCTCAGCCTTCAGTGGTCTGGCTCCTGCTCCCCAAAGAGCTCAGTCATGAGCAGTGTGTTACTTGGCTTTCTCTTTGACCTGAGAACAGCATGGGTGTGCTCGTGTTTTTTGTTTCTGGCCATGTGTCTTTCTAGAATGGCCAGAGCTCAGGTCTATTTTATAATAAAGTGAAAATTTTGGAAGTATTATGAAGAATCAGATAACTCCCAGGAAATCTAGTAATTAATAACATTTTTCTTTAAAGAAGGTTATGTTTTAGAGCAGCTTCCTTTGGGCTAGATCTCTTGTATCTCCTCTATGTTTTATCCGTCCCTGGGGCTGTATAGTGAGCACTAATGCAGGTGCTGATCACCTTACAGCGCTGGAAGTCAGTCTGGCATTAAAACAATGGCAGGTGCTTATTATATATGCAATTTAGGGAGGTTTTTGGCAAGTTGAAACCAAAGGACCTTTAGCAATAATTGAATGTGTTGACATGCTTAAAAAGAATATTTAACCAGAATAATTTAATTTCTGCAACATACTGATTATCATTAGTTTGTTTTAATAAATTTTTAAGTTTAGATTATGTTGATTTTATGTAACAAGATTCTTCACCTTTATTTTTTAAAACTAAAATGCAAGAACATAATTTTTATGATACTTAAGTACATGTAGTGTAATGTGTATAACTTTTTGTTTAACATGAGTTCTTTTTTCTTTCCAGACTGTAAAACACATGTGGCCTTTTATTTGCCAATTTATAGAGAAGTTATTCCGAGAAACCATAGAACCTGCGGTGCGGGGAGCCAACACCCACCTTAGCACCTTTAATTTCACGAAGGTTGACATGGGTCAGCAGGTAGGTTTCTTCTTAAATATCCTTACTTGTGCACATGGTAGTAATTGCTTAGAAAACATGGGAAAATATTTAATTTTTTTAACTTTTTTTTTTTTTGCAGTTTTTGGCCAGGGCTGGGTTTGAACCCACCACCTCTGGTATATGGGGCTGGTGCCCTACTCCTTTGAGCCACAGGCGCCGCCCGCAAATATTTATTTTTTAAACAACTTCAAATTATGTTCTAACTGGTGTGCCTGCCATCCTGCCCCAGCTCTGCCCCACCTGCATCACCTCCTACCTCCCAGTCCACTCAGCCTAGACCTCATGGCTTCTCTTTAATACTCACCTTCTATAATATGTCTTTCTACCCTGGGGTTTTCTGTCAGAATTATATTTTTTAGAAGTACTGATTTTGAGCAGTTTGTTCTGTTAAGGAGTTTGATACCTGAATTCATGCTAAAGGTACCAGTAATTGACAAGTTTAATGTGTTTACCCCTTTTAAGATGTTAAAAACAAAACAAAACAAAACCCTACCAAGGACTCCGATGCTGGGATTGTAGGCATCACATTAATTACATAGTGAAATGAAAGGTGAATTTTGTTACTGGAATTATAAAAAAAGGAAAGCTACTTCCTAATACCATTTCTAATGAAAGTCTCAAGATTATATTTAAGCTAGTTGGTTATGGCAAGTATTCTTTTTTATTTTATTTTTTTTGAGTGAGTGTTTAATTAGCAGCAGTCCAAAATGATGTACTTTAGATGCCTAATAAAAATTCAGAACCTGATCAGTACTTTTAAATCTAAAACTCCAGCCTGTTGGTGCCAGGGCAGTCAGACAGCATGCAGGTGTCACCATGCTGTGTAGTCCAGGTCTGCAGTGGGCGGGGCTGAGGGAGTGTCTGGGGCAGTGCTGTGTGCGTTTGTCACGTGCTGGGAGTGTTGGTGTCTGCTGTCTCAGGCTCCCCAGGCTAACAGTCACCTTTCCCCATCAAAGCTGATTTTCTGTGTGTAGGGAATGCTCTTTTCGTAGGTATTTATTACAGCCCCAGTGTCTCTAGTGCAGACTCGTGTGGTTCTTACCTGTGTGTGCTGGCCCTTTTTCTTCCTAACTTGACGATCTCCAAATACATAACATGCCTGAGGCATGGCTGTCCTGTTTGGGTCTCCACATACCTGTGCAGGATGCCTGTGTCACACTGTTAACCTTCCATAACCTGAAATGATAACCACAAGTAGTAAAAAACACAATTGTAAGTTAAAATCCTATATGGATGCAAGTTAAAATTACAAATATAGTAATTACAAATAAATAAATAGTATAAAGCAGGGGTTGCAAACGTTTTCTGTAAATAGCCAAATAGTAAATGTTTTAACTTTGATGTCCCCCAAAGTCTGGGTGGAAAATTTCTCCTGCTCTCTCTCCCTTCTTCACAGCCCTTTAAGAAGGTAGAAACCATCTCAGCTTTAGGGCTATACAGAAACAGGCCACATTGCAGGACTCAGTGGCTCACACCTATAATATCCTAGAACTTTGGGAGGCTGAGGCAAGTGGATCACTTAACCTCAGGAATTTGGGACCAGTCTGAGCAAAAGTGAGACCCTATCACTACTAAAAGTAGAAAAACTAATATATCAAAAAAAATACCAAAAAAACCAGAAACAGTGCAGCGCCTGTGGCTTAAAGGAGTAGGGCGCTGACCCCATATGCTGGAGATGGCAGGTTCAAACCCAGCCCTGGCCAAAAACTGCAAACAACAACAACAACAACAACAACAACCACCACCACCCAGAAACAGGCCACAGGCCATGTTTAGCCTGCAGGCCATCATTTGTTGTCTCCAAATACAAGGTGTGCTCATATTTGTGGTTGTTTAAAGTTTAGGTTAACTTTAAAGTTAACCATTTTAAAGTAAACCATTTTAGGTTAACTTAATTGTTGTCATGTTCTGTTTACTGCACACACTAAGAAGATGCTTGGAGAATGGTGAGACTTGAGGAGAGTGCTAGTTCTGTAAACACAGCTGTGGTGCTGACACCCTGTTGGCCTCGGGGCTACAGCAAACCCACTGTCTAATGAAGGAGCAGGTTGAAGGGGCTGCTGGGCTGGTCCAGCCCCGCAGGCAGTTAGGTCCTCCTGCCTGCAGGTACGTGTCCCTCACTAGGTAACACTCTGTCGTCTGGAGTAGAGTTAGTCTCTTCATCTGAGATGCCATTTAAGTAGCAGGAAAGGGAAATGTCATTGAATGCAAACCCTAAACTGAGTCACAATTTTGTTGTCAGCACAGTGAGCTGGCTGTGCTGCTCCGTGACCCTCCAGTCTGTGTGTGTCTCGGCTATTGTCATGAAGGGAAAGCCTGGGGGCCTGGGGTAGAGGGAAGTGTGGAGACTCAGGCAAAGGCTCAGTGCTAATTCTGTGGCTAGTTGACAAGTGAGGCTTTAGGACAGTCCAGTGTGTCCAAGTGAGCAATTATGCTCTGAAAGGTGTTTCTTCATTGTACTCAATGCTGAAATGTGATGTTGAGAGCTACTTAGAAGGAATCCCAAAGTAATACATGAGAAAGGTTTTGAATTGATGTTATAACCAGCCCCTTGAAGTACGTTTGTTATAATCTGTCTCATTTTCCATATTTACCTGTCATATATTCAACATTCAAGATTGGTATTATACTTGCAGCTTATAGTTCTTATTTACTCATAAGCCCTATTTTTGTAACAATCTTGGATGAAGAAATCACAAGACATACAGGAAAAACAGAAGGAAGTTATTTTTGAACATTAGTAAGGATGGCACAGAGGGAAAGCACCAGTGGAACTGGAAGAGATGAGGGCATGGAGTTGGAAAGGGGGAGCAGGAGAATTTGTCCTCATGTGCCAGCAGCATCTGCTATTCTCAGAGCACTTACCGCAGCCCGGCAGCATCTTGACCATTGTGCCGTTTGGCTTCCAGTAACCTCATGAGATAGGAACCATTATTGCCCACATCTTACAGTGAGGGAGCTGAGGAACAGAAGTTAAGTAACTTGCAGAAAGTCAAGCAGCAAGTATGAAAGCAGAATTTCGATTCTACTCAAGTCTAAAACTAAGCTTATTACAAGGTTGGTTGGTTTGTTTAACCTATGTGCATTTTAAAGTAAGCTACTTCTTGTTTTAGCCCCTCAGGATCAATGGTGTTAAGGTGTATACTGAAAATGTAGACAAGAGGCAAATTATTCTGGACCTCCAGATTAGGTAAGTTTTAATGTGTGTTATGTTTGTGTCATGAGTAATGACCTCAGAGTCACTCAGCTGTGCCCATGAGGTGGAAGTATTATGAGCATGCCTCTTACTTGCTGTTCATTGGAATCTGACTAGATTCTGGTTGGAAATCTAAGTGTTACTTGTCATCTGGGTCTCAGTTTGTAATAGCTAATTGCCACTCATAAAACATGTTAAATAAAGAAATTAAAGACACTACTCTTGTGAACATTGGTAAAAAAAAAAAATCCTCAGAAGTACTACCAAACCAAATTCAGCAGCACATTAAAAGAATTATACACCATGACCAAGTGGAATTTATTCCTGGAAGGCAAGGATGGTCCAGCATTAGAAAATCAATCTACATGATATACTGTATTAACAGGAAGAAGGGAAAAAGCCCGCATGAGTATTTCAAAATTCTGTACCCTTTGATGATAAAAACATTCAACAAACTAGAAGTGGAAGGAAACTACCTCAAAATAATAAAAGACATATATGAAAAGCCCACAGCAAACGTCATACTTGATGGTAAAAGACTGAAAGCTTTTCTTCTAAGATCAGAAACAAAGCAAGGATATTTCTTTTCACCACTTCTGTTCAACATATTATTAGAAGTTTAGCCGGGACAGTTAAGAAAGAAAAAGAAATAAAAGATATCCGATTGGAAAGTGATCTGTTTATGATCACAAATGATATGATCTTATAAAGATTCTACAAAGAGAAACCTATTGAAACCAGTAAATGAATTCAACATAGTAGCAGAATACAAAGTCCATACACAAAAATCGGTTTAGTTGTATTTCTATAGCTAACAATGAAGAATTCAGAAAGAAAATTAAGAGAAAAAAGTTTAATTTATAGTAAAATCTAAAAGAATAAAATACTTAGGGATAAATTTGACTAAGGAAATAAAAAACTTGTACACTGAAAACTACAAAACATTGCTGAAAGAAATGAAAGAAAAAACAATTAAATGTAAAGATAGCCCATATTTATTAGAAAATTTAATATTGTTAAGTGTCAATACCACCAAAAACAAGCTACAGATTTAGTGCAATTGCTAAGATTGCAAACCTGATAAGGGATTGTTAACCAGAAAAGATAGAAAATTTCTGAAACTTCAACAACAAAAACAAACAACCCTGTTGACAAATGGGCAAAGTACTTGCATAGACATTTCTTCAGACAAGAGATGCAAATGGCCAGAAAGCTCGTGAAAGATGCTGAATGTCACTGGCCTTGCATTGGGAAAGTGCAAATCTAGACCACAGTGAAATACCAGCTCACATCTATTAGGATGGCTACTGTCAAAAAAAAGTAAAACAGGTGTTAGTGAAGCTGCAAAGAGATGGGAACCCTGTGTACTGTTGGTGGGAACGTAAACTGGCATAGGCACTGTGGAAAACAGTTTGGCAGTTCCTCAAAACATTAAGAATAAAATTACCAGATGATACAACAATTCCATTTCTCTTATAGATACCCAAAAGCATTGAAAACAGGAACTTGAGCAGGTATTTATTCTGTTCAAGAATACCCATGTTTGGGGGAGGAAGGGAAGCCGGGGAAAAAAAAGAAAATTCATATTCCTTAAAGAAGCTAAAAAGTGAAGCATCTCAAGTGTTCATAGGCAGATGAGTGGATAAGCGTGTATGTGTACATACTATTATTTAGCCTTAAAAGAGAAGGGAATCCTGCCACATACTACCACATGGGTCAACCTCAAGGACAGGATGCTAAGTGAAGTAAACCATACAAAAAAGAGGACTGTCTGATTCCACTTACATGAGGATCTTAGAGCAGTGAGCCAGAGACCAAAGCAGATGGAGGGGGAGGTGGTACCAGAGATAGGAGCAGGGAACTGGGGGTTAGGGTTTTATTGAACAGAGCTTCAGTTATGCAAGATGGAAAAAGTTCTGGCAATGGATGGTGGTGATGATTGCACAACATTGTGGATGTATTTAATGCCACAAAGCTCCACACTTAAAACCGGTTAAGGTAGGCCAGGCATTGTGACTCATGCCTGTAATCTCAGCACTCTGGAAAGCGAAAGCAGGAAGATTGCTTGAGGCCAGGAGTTTGAGACCAGCCTGAGCAAGGTAGTGAGACTCTGACTCCACAAGAAAAATTAACCAGGCGTGGTGGTAGGGTCTGCAGTCCCAGCTGCCCAGTAGACAGAGGCAGCAGGATCTCTTGAGTGTGGGAATTTGATGTTGCAGTAGCTGTGACGGCACCAGTGCACTCTAGCCTGGGTGACAGAGGGAGACTCTTGTCTCAAAAAAAAAAAAAAAAAAAAAATTAAGGTGGTAAATGTTCTGAGACATGTATTTTTACACAATTTTTTAACATTGGAAAAAGAAAAGAAATTGAAGGTCTTCCAAGTATTGCGCCAGCATAATAAAGGTGGTTTCTTTGTTTCTCATCCTTGTTCTTCCTTGGACATCTCCTGGCTCCCTGTGTACCAGCTGGTGAGCACAGTGGGCTCAGAGCGACTGTGTGGGGTTCTGTGCTCAGGGTTGTTTCTTTTGTTAATTCTTGACTGAGGACTTTATTTTATGTCATCTTTGAGTCTTCAAAGTACATTAAAATAGTAAATGTATGGAGTTAGTACCAAGTACCTTTATTTCAGAAAGAAGTGTAGAATGTCTTTAATATGGCACATAAGCATCTTTAAAATACTTGGCACAGTACAAACTCTGTTGCCATTGGCACAATAAAGGGGGAGCCCCACTTAGGTCTCAGAGTGAATCTTTGAATGGATCAGTGGACGCCATTCCAAGGGGCAGCCTGGCTTTCTCATAGAATGTGCAGGGTGTCCTGCTTCAGTGTTTATGTCTCTAAAATATGCCTTCTACTTTGGCAAGGACCCTAACTGGAAGCAGGATGGGGAAGGAGTATCAAAAAGTGTTAGGAAATATAATAAAATGGTCACGTCTTAGGGTCAAAAGGCAAGTTTCATGATGGTTTCATAACAGGTTATTTGTGGTTTTACCAACTAGGCAGAGAATAATTCTCAATGAGAAGGATCTCTGGGTTTTGGCTTTAACACTGGGACAGTAAATACTGGAAAGGTTTTTGTCCTGGATCCCTTTGGTTCACACTTTGCTCTTGCGCTTGGAGGCTCTGTGTCCAGCTCTCATCAGACTTCCCCACACAGGACAGGCAGGCTGTGACGTCCTGCTTCCCGGGTCAGGGGTAGGCTGCCTGAGAGTATTTGACATTTCATATTTATATCAGAAATAGATGCAGATCTTGCACGCAACATCACAGTATATCATGTTTGTCTTGTATTAATGTTTACAGGGACTTAATCATTAAGTGACACCGTGGCCCCAAAAAGAGGAGCTCACTCTGACCCTTGGTGTCTCCACACCCTGGGGCACTGTCATTTATTCATGATTAGGGGCCACATATATGACATTTATCTTTACAGACATGGAATTTGTGAGATGACATTATATTCCATTGAAAGCCTGCTTTAGAAGTTGTGCTTTTTTATCGACGTTTTCCTTTGAAAGTGGAAGTTTATGTTAAGATTTCCGCACATGCTGATAACCGTGGTACCGTGGACCCAGCTCTCTGCAGGTATTGCAGCAGTATGGAAGCTGGGTGTGTGCCTGCAACATTGATGCGGGCCAAGTTGACAGTGTTACCTACAGTCTGACTTTGGTTGCTTTACTCACATTATGTACCTCATAAGTTTATAGTAATAAAGAGAAAAGTTAATTTCATTCAATTTGTGTAATATAGGCTCAAGCAGCTAAGACGCCAGCTACATACACCAGAGCTGGCAGATTCAAATCCAGCCTGGGCCTGCCAAACAACCATGACAACTGCAACCAAAAAATGGCCCGGTACCCATGGTCCCAGCTACTCGAGAGGCTGAGGCAAGAGAATTGCTTAAGCCCAGGAGTTGGAGGTTGCTGTGAGCTGTGATGCCTCAGCACTCTACCCAGGGCGACAGCTTGAGGCTCTGTCTCACAAATAAATAAAATTTAAAAAAAGAAACAATTTGTGTAATTCAGAATTTTTTTCTTTCTCAGTTTTGTAGGAAATTGTGAGATTGATTTGGAGATAAAACGATATTTTTGTAGAGCTGGTGTGAAAAGTATACAGGTAAGTTTTTCTTTTAATTTCATAGTTTTCTAAGCTGTATTTATAAAGAAAATTCACAATGTGATGGTGTTCAACATGCCCCACCCATGAAGGACTCAACTACAATTTAAACTTTACCTTAAGATTGAAAAAAATGTAACTTATACATTTGTACCCTCATATTAACCTGAAATTAAAAAAAAAGAAAGAAAGAAAAAGAAAATCAGTGTTGTGGCTGGCGCCTGTAGTCCCAGCTACTTGGGAGGCTGAAGCAAGAGAATCGCTTAAGCCCAAGAGTTTGAGGTTGCTGTGAGTTGTGACACCATAGCATTCTACTAAGGGTGACTTAGACGCTGTCTCAGAAAAAAAAGAAAAGAAAAGAAAATCAAGATTTTATTAGCTCAGAATTTTGCAGGTTTTTTTGTAAGTCATGATTGAGAGAAACATGGTCAAATGCTCCAATGTTATTAAGATTGTCATGAAACTCCTTGCTCTAAGTAAGTGGCCCTGCAGAATCGTTTACTATTAGAAATGTTGGTTTCCTGTTTGACTTTAGATTCATGGTACAATGCGGGTGATCCTGGAACCATTGATTGGAGACATGCCCTTAGTTGGAGCTTTGTCTGTCTTTTTCCTTCGGAAACCAGTAAGTGAATATTTATTTCATTTTTATCTTCCCATTCAGTGACAAAAATATGTACCTAGGGAAGAGTCTGTAAAGCAGAAACAACATTTTCTCAGCTCAGCTCACTCTCCCCTTGAGATTCGTGAATCTGTGAGTTTTTCAAACCTCTTTATGCCTTACCTTGTTGTTTATCTCTTGATAAGCAACTTTCTTTTCTGATTATGGGAATATTATTTGTTATAGAAAATTTGAAAACAGACTTTTAAAAAAGTATAGGTTGTAACTAACATTTTATTCAGTACCTATCACTGAGTATGATTTATAAATATTTGCTCATTTATTTCCCCTACCTCTATAGCTAAGTATTGAAATCTTGTTTCCTGGCTCAGTGCCTATAGCTCAGTGGCTAGGGCACCAGCCACATACACCAGAGCTGGCAGGTTCGAATCCAGCCTGGGCCCGCCAAACAACAATGACAACTGCAGCCAAAAACTAGCTGGGTGTTGTGGTCGGCATCTGTGGTCCCAGCTTCTTGGGAGGCTGAGACAAGAGAATGGCTTAAGCTAAGGTGACCAGACATCCCGCTTTTGGCGGGACAATCCTAATTTTTAACAATTTGTCCCGCGTCCCGCTGCGTTTTTAAAAAGTCCCGATTTTAGTTTGATGGAAGTGTTTCGGATTGTGTGTGAAAACCCCACACTGTACCCCAGAAGTGCATTAATGTACATAGTTACCGTTCAATTAAAAAAAAAAAGTCCCGATTTTTGGAAAGAATGCAAGACGAGCTAGGGGACGTGGTGGGGAGAACAGGAACGGCTGCTGAAAAGGTTAATGTAACTCCATTACATTGGGAATGAAGAGGTTAAAGTAACTTGATTTGGAAATGAAAAGGCTAATGTACACTCCCTACTCCCCTCCTGGGCAAGGTCGCCTAGGTGGAATCAGTATCAGCAGGAGACTGCTCCCTCCCTTGCTTCTAGGCAAGGACAATTAGCTCAGAAGGAGCCAAACTGTCTGGAACAAACAAGTAGCTCCTCCCTCTCTAGAGGGTCCCTAACCATCAACAGCTCAGCCAATAGCAGCCTAGCCAGACAAAACACCTGATGAAATTCCTCTATGAGCTTTAAAAATCTCAGCTGGCTTCACTAGGGGGTCGCCCTTCCTCCAGCCATGCTGAAGGGAAGAGTGGCCCAGGCATATGTTTGCAAAATAAAGCACTTATTGTCTTTACATGTGTGTGGTGGTCTCTCAGCAGCAATTCTGGTCCCAACACTGCCATCTGGCTATTTTGCCAGGATATAAGTTTTATATTATTTTTGTTAATTTTATAATGTTAAACTTTAATAATAACAAGTAATTGTTGAGAACTGATTATCGAGAACTGCTTATCAAAGTTCGCATTGTGGATCAGTTGTTAGAATTCGACCACCATTGTTTGGACTTAATGAACAATGGCATTTTTTGGCATTGGCAACCGAGAAAACATTTTTTAACTGTCTCTCAGATGACACACATCGTACTGTGTGCTAGTGCTAGTTAAACAAGTGATGTCAACAAATCAGCCATTCAGATAATTTAAGTAAGTAATTTATTTATTTATTTCATAAATTTAGCAGACAGTACTGGTATTATTTATATTTTATAGTGGCAGCAAAAAGTCTAGCTCCAGCCTTGAAAGTGACACTCATGACTTACAAGGTATCATTATTAAAAATATATATTGATAAAGAAAAGGTTAACTCTTGGGCATCAGCAGAAATCACAATAGAGAACAAATGGTTAGAAATATTTCATCATTTTGAAACAAACCATGTTCCATACAATAATGCACTAAAAATTGTGGGATACGCGCTGTCCTTACCAGGAACTAATGCTGCAACTGAATGTGTTTTTTCTATGGTAAATAAAGTGTGGACATCAGAAAAATCACAATTAAGTGTTGAGACTTTGAAAGCCATTTTATGTGTGAAATATAATTTAACAAATTCTTGTGAAAAATTTCATGACCTTTTAAACAACAACAGCAGTCTACTAAAAAAATTCACTCAAGTGAGAAATATGCCAAAGAATAAAATAATACTATACATAATTTTTTTTTTTTGCCAGGGCTGGGTTTGAATCCGCCACCTTTGGCATATGGGACCAGCGCCCTACTCCTTTGAGCCACAGGTGCTGCCCTATACATAAATTTTTTTAATGTATTATATTTGTAAATTGTACTTATGTTAAAATTAAAAAATATATATTACAATACTATTTTTGTTGCTCCATATAGACCATATTTTTAATTAAGAACCTCCCCCCCCCATCAATGGTGTCCCGCTTTACCAACGTTAAAATCTGGTCACCTTAGCTTAAGCCCAAGAGTTTGAGGTTGCTGTGAACTATGATGCTGAGGCACTCTACCGAGGGCAATAATTCGAGACTCTGTCTCAAATAAATAAATATTGTTTCCCTTTACTGTTCAGAAACTGAGATTTTTGAGAGTCTTATTTGTCCAACTCACACACTAATAAGTATTGGTGCTGCATATTGGTCCAGGTCAGTCTGATGCAGAGTTCATGTTGGTAAACAATTTTCATAATGACTGGCCTATAAATCTCCCTGTGAGCCCCCTCCAGAGGTAAGTGCGACTGTCATTGGAGGCGTTTCCTTCCCTTTTTTTGGTGGGCTGAGTGTTTAGTGAACCACACATACAGTTTTATATACAGATTGAATGTGTGTCTTACCCAAAATGTTTGGGACAAAAGCACAGGGGTTTGGACCATCTGTCTCACATTTCAGCAAGTGTTTCCAAACATTTCATATTTGAGCATTTTGAATTTTCAGATGAGGGATGCTGAACTATACTGTCTTTTTAAATGTCATAAAAACTTTTTTTGACTGATCTTCTCAGAGGGGTGTCCAACCTGCAGCCATGGTATGCAAGCAGATTATTCGAGGCTGTTTTGTGTAACTGTGGTTTTAGCTACCACAAAAATTATGCACGAGCCTTTTTTTGCTCATCAGCTTTCGTTAGTGTTTGTGTATTTAATATGTGGCCCAAGACAACTCTTTTTTTTCTGATGTGCAGCAGAAAATAAAAAAAGGTTGGACACTCTGTTAGATAAGTCATAGTGTCACTGTTCCCATTGTTGAGTACACGTTGCTCCATTTCTTTGTTATAAGTAAATACTTGCTACTCATTATGAGTCACAAAACCAACACAAGAAAACTGTTTTCCCACCGGATAGACGTTCCTCCTTCGGGCTCTGCAGTCCTGACTGGCTCTGCCTTTGCTTCTTGTCGGTGTCTTTGTCATCAGGGTGCTCTTTTCATGTGCAGACCAATCCCATTGGGGGCTGTCTCTCCCTGGCAGACAATATAGCAGAGATTTCACTGGGATCTCCCTTTCCAGCCTCACTTCCTGCACCTGCTCTAGTTGCATCTTCAGTTCCAGAGACAGGGAACAAGTCACCCTCCAGGAAGGCATCAGCCCCTTTGCCCCCCGCCCTCCCTGTGCCTTTTCCTTCTCCCCAGAGCGTTGTCTTCAGCCCTTTGGTTTCTCTAGTTTTCAGCAGACTTCTACACATCCCTCCTGGGACAGCAGTCCTGTTACAGTCCTGTGCATTTTCACTGTTACCGGCAGCTCTCTGAAGACAAAGGACAGATCTGTTTTGATAAATGTCTGGTGGATGAATTGATCTGTTTCTAACATATCTCTTCAAGATATGCCATTTCATAACCCTCATGAGCTTTTTATGGAGGCTTTTAACATCATGTATAATTTAACATATTTGCATAATTTATTTCAGATAACTTAATAAAATTTGTTATTTTGTTTTAAAATATGGGCTTACCTAGACCAAACCAAGTTTCCTGCTGGTGGTACTTTTTCTGTGTAGAAACACAGGAATTAAGAGTCATCACTTTGTGTCACCACTAAAATTATTGCTCTTATCAGGTTATTGTTGATTGAATGACAGTGTATTTGGAATGGATTTGAGTACACAAAACATGGTAAAATTCAAAAGCTAATAGGGAGTCTCTGTGTTTAATTTCACTTTATTAAAATTTGGGGGCTGGGTGCGGTGGCTCACACTTTGGGAGGCCAAGGTGGGCGGTTCGCCTGGAGCCACAGCGAGAGACCCCATCTCTAAAAAAATAGCTGGGCGTTATGGCAGGTACCTGTCATCTCAGCTACTTGGGAAGCTGAGGCAAGAGAATCCAGCCCAAGAATTAGAGGTTGCTGTGAGCTATGACGCCATGGCACTCAACCCAGGGAAACAAAGTAAGACTGTCTCAAAAAAAAAGAAAAGAAAAGAAAGAAATGAAATGAAATATAAAACAAAATTTAGGGAAATGAAGAAATTCATAAAAATATTTAAAAGTTTTTTTTCACATGCCAGTTACTGAAAAACCTGTTATGTTTAAGAAAATGACTTCAGAGCAGCACCTGTGGCTCAAGGAGTAGGGAGCCAGCCCCATATACCAGAGGTGGTGGGTTCAAACCCAGCCCTGGCCAAAAACTGCAAAAAAAAGAAAAAGAAAAAGAAAATTACTTCATTAAAGATTATAAAAAAACTAATCTTTAGCTGGGCATTGTGGCGGGTGCCTGCAGTCCAAGCTACTTGGGAGGCTGAGGCAAGAGAATTGCTTAAGCCCAAGAATTTGAGGTTGCTGTGAGGTGTGACACCATGGCACTCTACGGAGAGTGACAGAGTGAAACTCTGTCTCAAAAAAAAAAAAAATAGCAACAACTAATCTTTAACAAATTGCTAAGCATTTTTAATTATTTATCCTTATGCTGGGAATTTTTAACAATTTTAAAGAAAGGCCTTTTTCCCCCTCAGTTCAGAATATAAGAAAATTCAAATCTGGGCAGCGCGTGTCACTCAGTGGATAGGGCACTGGCCCCATATACCAAGGGTGGTGAGTTCAAACCCAGCCCTGGCCAAACTGTGACAAAAAAATAGCCAAGTGTTGTGGTGAGCGCCTGTAGTCCCAGCTACTCATGGGGCTGAGGCAAGAGAATCACCTAA